ATGAGGTGGATTGATTCAGTGACTGGGGTAATCGGGATGGGTGTGTCAGAGGCAATGCGATTGGCACAGGATAGAGCAGTGTTTAGGGCTGTTGTACATAGGGTTGCTATGAGTCGCAAATGACTCGACGGCACATAACAACAACAACATCCATAGCATCCTTACGGATTGCAACTCGCAGTTTGAATTTGTCCTTTAATTCCTTCAGCTTAAGAAATGGCGAGTGAGTATGACCCTTGTGGTGTTTTGGACTCCAGTTCTTTGCACATTTCATAATAATACTTTTCCTTGTCTTCCTGAGCTGCCCTTTGAAATCTTCTATTCAGCTCCTTAACTTCTTAATATCTTCCCTTTGTTTTGGCTTTTTGGCGCTCTAGTGCAATATTCAGAGTCTCTTTTTACATCTATTTTGGTCTTTTCTTTTTTTATCTTTCTTTATAATGGTCTTTTGCATTCTTCATTGATGATATTTTTTATAGCCTTCCACGGCTCGGCTGGTCTTCGTTCATTAGTGTTCAAGGCCTCAGATGTGTTCTTATGTTGGTTTTTAAATTCAGGTGAAACAGAGTCAAAGTCAAATTTTGATTCCTGTGGATTTTATTTTACTTAGTTTAGCTTTAATTATTCTTGCATGTGATATCAATGCTATTGTTCAAGAATTTTCACATTCTGTTGGATCACCTTTCTTGGAAATGGGAACAAAGCACTAACAAAGTATGTAGTCATGTCAGTTTAAGGCTAAGGTGTGCCTCATTCAAGCCCTGGTCTTTTCAATCACTTGCTGTATATCTGTGAGCCTGACAATGAATAAGGACAAGAGAAGAAGAATTGACAGCTTTGATAGTGGAGTTGGAGAAAAGTGCTAAATATTCCATGGACTGCCAAAATAAGATATGTATTGAAGCAGGTGAAGCCAGAGTGTTCCTTGGAGGTAAGTATGATAAAGCTTCAACTCACATATTTTGGGCATGTTGCTAGGAGAGCTTATTCCTTGGAGAGGGACACCATGCTTGAAAGTTTAAAGGGATGGCAAAGGATACGAAGGCTTTCAACTGGGTGGATTTGTACAGTGACTGCAGCAATGGGCTTGAGTGTTTCAGAGATTGTGGTGTAGGATAAAACAAGGTTCAGATCTGTAGATCATAGGGTCACTATGAGTCATACTCAACTCGATGGCACCTAACAGCAACAATGTGTATAGTCTGTCTATAAGTCGTTTTTTCAACTGTCTGTGAACATAAACCGTGAAAAATTAAAAATAAGACATGTTATATATCTGCGAAACTTAAGCCAAAGCAGATTCATTGTTGATCTTCCTGCAGATTTTCAGGGGCAGTAAATCTCATGGGAGGAAATTGTTGGTCTTTCTCCCAAAGAGCAACTGTTGGATTCGAACCGAGTGCCTAAATTGGTCATGTTGTTATTATGTACCATCGGAACCCACTCATTGCTGACCCTCTGACAGCTTCTCAGAGGCAGTTCATCACATGGGAGGAGACTGACCATTCTTTTTCCCACAGTATAGTGGACGGATTCAAACCACGTCTTTGGAATTACAGTGCAGTTGCTTATCACCAGGCCACCAAAGCCTCCTAAATATGTCTTCTTGTTGTGTTTACTATCGAGTCAGAATTGACTATAGCCAAATCTCTGGTGGGTTTTTAGAGGCAGTTAATTGCATGGGAGGAGATTGCCAGTCCTTCTCCCGTGGAGCTGCTGGTGGCCTTGAACTGTGTGTCTTCAGGATTGTAGTGCAGCTTCTTGCCACTAGGTCGCAAGAGCTTCGTAAATAGGGCATAGTCTTATTTATATCATTATACAGAAGATGATAGATAGATAGATAGATAGATAGATAGATAGATAGATAGATAGATGATAGATAGATAGATGAAAAATATAGATATATAGATATGTGGTTGTTGTTGCTATGTGCCGTTGAGTCGTTTGCGACTAATAGCGATCCTATGCACAACAGCCCTAAACCCTGCTCTATCCTGCGCCAACCGCACTGCCTCTGACACACCCATCCCGATTATTCCAGTCACCGAATCAATCCAACTCATAGAGGTCTTCCCCTCCTGCCCTGTCCCTCCACCCTCCCAAGCATGATGTCCCTCTCCAAGGACCCGTCCCTCCTGGCAACATGCCCAAAGTATGTCAGCCGAAGCCCCAGAATCCTTGCCTCCAAGGAGTTGCTTGGTTTAATCCTCTCTAGGATGAATCTGTTTGTTTTCTTGGCACTCCATGGTACATTTAATACTCTTCTCCAGCACCACAGCTCAAAGGCATCAATTCTCCTTCTGTCCTCCCTAGTCATTGTCCAATTCTCTGATGCATAACAAGCGATTGCAAAGACCATGGCCTGTATCAGGCGCACCTTAGTCTCCAGAGAGACACCGTTGCTCTTGAGTACTTTAGA